CTAATTCTTACCTACGCCCTGTTTGAACAAAGCTTGGCAAACAGGTTTTTTACCGTTGACCCAGCAAACACCCGGCGAGGACATAGTAAGAAAATTTTCAAGCTCAGGGCACACACATTCATCAGACAAAACTTTTTTTCATTTCGGGTAGTAGCTGCGTGGAATGACCTTCCTCCGACGGTTGTACACGCTCCTTCTCGAACCCAGTTTAAAGCACTATTAGACATTTATTTTCGCGAGTCCTCGCGCTGGGAAGCATACTGCTCTGCCCTGAGAACATACAGAGCAGTGCTACACCCTTTTTTCAATTGTGCCTTTCAGGTGAACGACAGCCACTGACCGACGAGAACAAAACCGACCCGGGAGACTTGGGTAAAAGCCTCGATCCTGCGCATGAATCCGTGAAATCCGTTACTAGGGCGTCCTCTTCATAGATCAGACCTCGGAGTGATTATTCAACTAACGAAGCAACCCAGCTTGGAAGCTTCAAGCATGTTGGTTCTTTTCAGGCAAAAGAGCATACAATCCACCCACGTCCAAGAGAGAGCCTCGAGCAGATTGTAAAAGCCCGTGAACTAATTAGAACTTGGACTTGTTTATTTCAATCGGTGAATTTGAGTCTCTAGGTTGAATAGCATCTGTATTTGTTAAATGGTCTAATGACTTACATGGATAGTACACATGCATAAAATGAAATGGAGTGCGAAAGTGGGGGGCTTTATTTTTCCTCAAATTTTGACACCGGAAACCTTGGTCGAGTTGAGGAAGTATCAAATGAAACAGAGGGTCCTCTGTCTTCTATGAGCAATGTAAACAAACGACACAACCTTTCTGGAAAAAATAACATTACCACGAATGGGAACCAATGTGGAAACGTTGGAATCTATGAACTTAAGGTGGACTACGATTTCAAGGTTTGGACTATACCAGACTGTGCAGGAACGCAGTTTGAAAATGGAAATCGTACCTGGTTTCACTTCTTCGTCCGAGGATATACCCCTGGGAAGTTGATACGTATAACAATAATGAACATGAACAAACAAGCAAAGATTTACAGTCAGGGATACTCTCCACTCTATAGAGTATGCCGCTCGACCCTATCTCAGTCTAGGTAAGCTTGTACATACATTTCTCAGTTGCTACAAATTTTAGTTCTTAGCACGTGGAAAAAAAACACTACATGTTCAGCTTACACGTGCTCGTTATTGTAGCTGTTAGGCGTCTCATCAGATGTCCGTGAAGTTATTGTTCGTGCACACCTACGACTGGCTCCAAAAATGCTCCTTGTTAATTACGTTTTGAACTTGTCTCTGAGGATAAGTTCAAAAGTTTCAGTAGCTCCTCCCTGCAGTAGGAAGCCAGGGACTATGACTCGATTTGTTGTGGCGTCATTATTATAAGCTGTAAAGTGAAAACTGAAAGCGGAGAAGGGAGACTAGGCTCCACCACCGGTCAGTGATATGTGGTTTCAGCATCCCTGACACAGTAAGAATAAGTGTTAATAATAACGTGATAGAGATAGTTGAGGCTAGTTTCATCTTATTTCGTGGCACATTCCTCCGGTGCATAATTTTTATCGGGTTGGGTCTAGCACAAGGGCGGTACTTAGGTGATGTATTTGTAGGTGTAGTGGTCAACTTTACGTTTAGGAGCGCTAAGGGAGGGGGCTTGAACATGGCGTTCTGAGAGTACGAGGGTAAAGTTATAAGGAATATGCGTTAGAGTGGTAGGAAAATATCTGAATCAGTCTGAAAAATCAGTTCCCTCCAAATCAGATAGATTTTGATTCTTTTCTACACTACTGAAAGGACCACAAAGAATAAAGACAAAAGAAAAAGATGGTAGCATATTAGAACACGTAGAGCCGTTGGGGTGGATGTTCTTTCTACCTGTTTCTGCCAGGTTCACACAATGTGAGCAGTTTTACATTGTTTTCTTTGAAAGCTCTATCAACTTGAGGCTGAATAGGCGTTGTTTCTGATTTCAAGGACTTCATATTAGATTTAGAAGCAAATGCGTAAATATCGGAGAATGATTTGACTGTGTCCAGAGTTACTTGGATAAGGAGATCATCGGAGTTCCGTAGAACCAGAGGGGACCCTATATATCGCAAGAGGGGCTTTGTGGATTGCCTGTGATTAAATGAGGACTGGTACCTGGTTTTTTTTACAGTGGTTAGTGGCGGCAACAATTTGCGATGTGCCCTGAAGTCTCTGGCTTAGTGAGACACTGGTGCTGCTGGGCTGCCTTTTGTCCTTTCGGACAAGCTAAATCCGTTTGAAAAAAATTATAGCTATATGTATTGTGGACAAATGAGACCTCAATTAGGAAATATTGCATAAGTAGCAATGAGGTCAACCTAAGTTGGATCCTGATTCCACATCACGTGCAACTTTAAATGAATTTCGCTAAGTTCACGATGACGAAGTTACTATCATTAGATAATGAAGGACAGCCTGTGCTTCAAGGGAATTCTAAATCATTTGGGAGGCTTCCATTGCTCAGGTAGACTTGCAAACATTTACAAGTACATTGTGAGCAGGTATTAAAGTTTTTTATGTGTGGCAACAAATCAGACTTAGTTCTTTACTTTACGATGACCTTTAGAGAAAATATGAGTCGCCTTTAAGTCAGTTCGCTGCTGCCTGTGAGACACAAGTAGCGGCGAGATCCAAACCAAAATTTTTCATTTTTTATTCCTCTGTTTGACATCATAAAACAATTTTAGATCAAGCAATTAAACTTTAACTTCAAGTGCAGGAAGCCATGCCTTCAAATCATTCTAAAGAGATACTCTACTTTCGGTAGAGCCGCGAGGGCATGGAAAACGCAAACGGCTTGGATCCCAAACCGATAACAAAGCACACTGATATTATAAAGTTTCAAACAAATATTTGAGTGTATCTATAGCTTACAAAAGTGTGTTTTGCAGTGGACTTTCAAAACACCTTTCTAACAATAATTCCTGGAGACATTAATATGATCCACACTTAGCTTAGTTCAAAGACTGCTGAAAGCTGATTAGCAAACATAATATCTGAAGATCCGCTTTCTTTTTGATGGATGGTAATTTAAAGTTGTTACCATAACACGCGACAAACTTCAATAAAAAACTGAGACCAAAAATTGATACTGTCGTCATTTTTCTACTTGATAAGCACAATGAAGACCATCCATTATATTTAAGTAGTCCAAATCTACAGAAGTGGCAACTTTAACTGCAGCTTACGCAAGGCACTTCATCCAAAAGGCACAAGTATGAGCGGTATCAGATGACCTTGGAAAGCCTACCGACTTGCCCCTAGTTGCTCATCACTCTGATATAGATTGAGAAGCTTAAGTATGTGTCACCATACCTCCTCTAAAAAGGTCAGGGGAACGCACCGTATGGTAGATAATTTGGTCTCTTTTCGTTGTTATTCGTTGTAAATGTCCACGGAGCTTCCTTAAAGAAATCTGCTTGTAAGTTCTTGCTGGGCAGGCACAAAAATAAGTCAATAAAAAAGCTTAATGAACAGATCCTGAGGCTGAACCTTGGATCTACTCTTTAAGATGGTCTTAGCCAACTGACTCATGTTAAATACAGACGTATGCCCTTTTGACGCCAAGGGCGTTTCATCGGTTATCTTGAAGCTTCTTTTTCACTACTAAGAAACCGGCCTTAGAGTGACATGGCTCAAACTTGTTGAACAAAAGGAAGACCCGAATGCGTCTTCTTAATGCGTGCATTATATAAATTCAACGGCTAAAGAAAAGTAAATCCGAGACATTTTTATAATAGGTACGTCACTGGCAGTGCTGTCAGTCAAACTTTGTGATGGTTTAAGTTGTTTCACAGTATCAAATGGGGCTGATTTCACTAAATGTCCTGCGCTGCAAACGAAATAAGATACATAAGATCGTCCGTTGATCATCAACGCACAAATGTCCGAAAATAACTTAGAAGAGACGCAACGGCAAGATTATCACAATCAATTAATCTCTCGAGCTATTGAAAGTAACTTGTGATGGAACTGACGACGATAACTTGCAGACTAATGCAGAGGGCTTTGGGCGGTGTAGCAAAGTTGAATATCCCGCACAATCATCTTGGGGCGTCACGGGAGACACATGAAAAATACGCACAAAGATGAACAGGAATGTGCACAGCCGGTTTCAAGCCTCGAAATCAAAGAAATACTAATCAGTGACATAGCTAAGTAACCAACCGATGACAACTAAAAGTAACATGCTTAGTCAAATAGAACCGCACTCGCAAGTGTAAATAAAAGGTAAAGTAAACTTGCAAGCCTTGCGAAGGACCAACGAATTACATGAAATAAAGACCAGAAGGGCATCAGTAGACGTTCCGATAGAAGAGAAGGCAAAAATTGGATAAAATAAGTTTTACGAGGCCGAGGTTTGTGAGTACTTAAATGGATACAAAATTGCATTTTCGTTCTGTATGTTGAAATTTCTCCTCGAAATGGGGGTTACCGTCCGTATCCCGTGACACAGCACAACTACTTGTGTGTCATAAATTAAAATTAAAACGCGGACCAGCTATTATAGGCGAAAGAGGTAGTGTTTAATAGTTACAGTTCAATGCACATCAGAGAACTGAATTCAACGCCAAGGGAAAAATTCGTGTTGAAGTCATAAAAATTAGTACAGCGCAAATGAACCATAGTCACGCTTATAACGTGCCTAACAATAATGCAAGTCGATTTAACTGACACTTAGGTAGAAAAAGCAAACAGATTCAAGAAAATAACAAGCTGGTACACTTATACAGACTGAAAGTTATGGAAAGTGCTTTAAAGACGTATAAAGCAGTTAAAATTGAATAGTCAAGTTTTGATACTACTTTCAAGCCACGATTGAAGTTTGCTGAAATAAATTTTCATTCGGAAGACGGTAATGTGTTTCATTGACCTATAGGGTTCAAAATTGTACTAAACATCTGAGTGAAAGCTATTAAAATATTACGAATGAAGGACTCACAATCACAGTTTTTGTACACTACCTATCTACGTTATACAACTGGAAGTTATGTAAACTCCAGTAACTAGTATCTGACCAAATTTTGTAGTGTTCTGTTATCAGAAAAAATGATCTTATCTGCCAAAGTTCTTTGATGCAACATGGCAGCAGTAGATCATCTTCAAAGTGTATACTCTGTTAGCTGCGTCGCATTTTCCCTCCCGCATTTTTCTTAGAACTGCTAAAAACAATTTCCTTTGATTCCACTTTCATTTGTTTTGACAAATTCCGGGTTCTCTTTGTCCGATGGGTCAGCAGTGCAGATATTTTTTTTAAATATTTAAAATGTTACCTCAAAACTACTAAGTTATTCATATTGCTACGTTTGACGCTCGCAACAAGCGAAATGAACATCCGTTGTTCAAGTTTTGTTAAATTTAAACATTTGCTGTTAACTTGTTGATTTCCGTGAGCAATAACACCGGTAATTACTTTTATCTTACTTTGTAGACATATTGTTTTATGTGGCTTGGTTTCAGTCTTACAATAAACGGTTTGTTTGACAATGTTGTCATTACAAGTTGTAATGAATCTATTTCTTAACCTATAAGTTAAAGCGCCACTTGCGCATTCATACGTATAGCTTAAATTAATTTTATTCCTTTATAAAAAATGCGTTCTTGACGAGCCAAGAACTAACCTAAGAACCGCATGCATGTCGGTCGTTTCCAAAAGAAACACTGTTTTTTTATAGAAAAAATTAACTGTTCTAAGTAGAAGGTTTCAAATAACGCACGGACCTTTTATGGTCAATTTGTTTGTTGCCATCAGTTGATGGAAATGTAGTAAAAGTAACGGTGAAAATCTTGGAGGTATGCACTCGCGTAATGTCAGGAATTCTGCATGATTTGTCGACCCTCGCGGAGAGAAACATTTCCTTTAAGATTTCTGCCTTTAGATTACCGTTTAAACAGTGCTAAACACAATTTACTCTTAGAAGAAGCGCATTTCTTATTCCCATGACTGCTATATGTTGATATTTTGAATGATTGATGTCCGATAATCCAAGTACTACCAGATAAAAGCTCAGGGATCACCAAGCGCCAAACTGGATCATTCGCAAATTGCGGTCTTCCTGAAACTCGAGTT